TGATAGAAAGCTTAGCATACAATCACATTCCTATGTTTATAGTTTCTACTACTATGAATATAAAGTGCACATTTATCAGCAGAATTCTTATAGCTATAGTGAAAGGCCAGATTGAAAGATACACAGCTGCAAATATATATCGATTCAGAAGTAATCCTATGCAACTTTCAAGAAAGTACTTCCATATAACTATGTTTAGGATTGAAGAGTAAGCCTTAAATTACAGATGGTCCTTGCTTAACATGGGTGGCGCAGTGGCTCAATGGTTAAAACACTGACTAGGTTTGTCGGCTGGAAGCTGACAGCTTAGGTTCAAGACATGAGTGCCACATATCGGGGTGAGCTCCCATTCTCGCCCCAACTTTTGCCAACCTAGCAATTTGAAAGCATGCAAATATGAGTAGATAAAATAGCTACCACTTTGATTGTAAGGTAACAGGGCTCCGTGACTTCATGGTCACATCACCGTGGAAATGTCTTCTGACAGCACTGGCTCAATGGCCTTGAAATGAAGATGAGCAACGCCCCCTATAGTTGATAACGACTAGTGGAGTAAAATCCACAGGTTAAATCTTTACCTTTTTACCTTGCTTAACAACCACTCCTTCAGTGAATATTCAAACTTATGACAGCACTGAACAAGTGAATAGCTGAATGTGTTAGCTGCATCCATCAGCAGCTAACATCAGCAATTAAGGAACACGCATAGCATGTTTGAAAGGAACTGAATACTTAAAAATATTACAGCCAATTTTTAGTGTCTTTTGCTAGTATATTGTTTATATTTCCCTAAGATTATCTGGGACACTACACATCCTCTTCACGACCTGTTTTTCTTGTTACCTTCTGGGAAGAGGCTTTGTAGTATCTGTAGCAGAACATCCAGATTCAGCCATAGTTTCATTCCATACAGCATTAGCCTTGTGAACTCTCAAGCTTCCTCCTTCCGTTATATATTCAAGGTGGACAATATTTAATAGTTATTTATTATGTATATGTAGGGTGTGGGTCTATATATATGTTGTATATAGTATATTTAGGTGTGTGTCATGTATGTGTTTCACTTTGAGAGGGGGCAACTAAATTTCATTTTTGATGTGTGCCGTTGTGCCCATAGTAAAAAAATGACAATAAAGGTTATCTTATTTATTTACAGTATTTATGTAGTGACCAGTCAAATGTCTCTGGTCAATGATCAAAGGATCTGAAACAGCTGAAAATAAGAAGCAAGGAAACTCTCCAGAAGTAATATATTCTAGTTTAGGAACCTCAATTGAGAAGATCTGCTTTTTATCCCATGTATATAATCCCATGTACACGCACACAGAGACACACACACACGTACATACACACACATATATATACATACATATATGCATATATATGCATATACATATATATATACATACATACATACATACATATATAGTCAATTACCAATAAAATGTGAACACCAGGAATATAATAAACTATAAAAGTTTAATACCATCACCGATCACCAAGCTTTCATCAGATACTTCTGACATCGTCAGAGTTAATGCTGGTCTGTGGGAGAGTGCCTTTACAGGTGAGCCGTCATTTGCACACGGCTCCATGTGTGCGAATGACGGCTCATCTATAAAGGCACTCTCCCACAGACCAGCATTAACCCTGACGATGTCAGAAGTATCTGACGAAAGCTTGGTGATCGGTGATGGTATTAAACTTTTATAGTTTATTATATTCCTGGTGTTCACGTTTTATTGGTTATTCAACTATGGATTCACCCAGGAATCACATTTTTATTTTCACTATTCTTATACACACACACACACACACGTATATATATTCACATATAGCAGAATCTTAAGAACTTTATTCTTTCTAGTCTAATAAAATGGGCAGAATCATTTTAGACAAGATAGTCTCTCACACAGAAAACAAGACTAAAAACAGAAAGATCACACCACAAAGGAAAAGTCTTGCTGCAGGAAAGTAAGCATAGTTTGTATAAAAGAAATTCTAAATTATTAAATTTCTCCTTCTCAATTACTATGAAAAAAAAGTGATTGTAGCGGATAATATTACAATCTGACTTTTAAAGACCTTTGACAAAATCCTTCATCAAAGATTCATAAATAAATTCTGTATGAGTTACCCTAGCCCCATTAATTAAAGTATATAAAGCTAAGGCAACCCTTATGCTCTTATATGAAGCAGAAGTTTGGGGTCTACATTCCACTACAAGTATTAGAACAAATACAGTCCCAGCACCTGAGATGTAGTTTAGGTGTAGATTGAAGGACATCTTCTGTAGCAGTTAGAGTTGAATTGGGAATATATACAATTCATGCACTGTCTAAAATCAGAGCATATAATTGCTGGTACAAAATCAATGAAAAGGAGATTGATAGATTCTCTAAGTTATGTTTATTATAACAGATAAAATTAGAATTACAAACCTCTTGGTTTACCAAATTGACCAATTTTGTAAGAAGCTGTGACCATCCTGTCTCTTGTGCAACAAATGAAGAAGAAAAATAAGAGTTGCACAAAGAATCTTAGACATAGAAGCACAAAATGATATAGCCACTCTTAGTAAGGCTGGTAGCTTGAAATGGCTGAGTAAATATAAACATACTTTTCAAACAGACAGCTAATTAAAGTTACAATTGCTAAAACATCTCGAGCGAGATTCAAACAGCTTGATACAATGGTCAGATATGGGAGGTTCCATTGTATAACATATGATGGACTTACCTGCATTTGCAGAGTGATAGAGATAGAAGACTTGGCTCACATACTATTTGATTGTTGTTTGTCTAAGACAGTGGTTCTCAACCTTTTTAATGCCGCGACCCCCAATGGTCATAAGTCGAGGACTACTCAACCGGTCGTAAGTCGAGGACTACTCAACTGGTGCAGCACCGTTTGCAGAATGGGACTTTTGGCGGGCTCAGCAGGGCAGAGACAGCCTGGACAATTCCTATTGGCTTTTGAAAGCCAATAGAATTAGACTCTATTCAAGAGAGTCTATTCTATTGGCTTTCAAAAGCCAATAGAATAAAAGGGAGTAGCACAGCTAAGGAAAAGGGGGAAAAAATGGCGGACTGCGTTGTTTGGCGACCCCCATGAAATGGTCGTTCGACCCCAAACATATCTTATGTGTGGCCAGAATCTGAAAGCAATACTTAACACAGCACGGTACTTGAGCAAAATCATTCTGATAAGATCAGCATATGTGGGACTGTTTGGGGTAGATTGTAGGGGTGATTCCGAAATATAATTTTATCTTATTTTACTTGTCTACATATTATTATATTTTACCCCAATTTCATTTTAAATTGTTTTATAGGATTATATTAATTTTATATGTTTGAGCTCTGTATTTTGATATGGCGTATGGGCTAATCAATTAACTAAACTAACTGAATGAATTAATAACTGATTAAATGAGCATAGAATCAGGCTGCAGCATAAGAAAAGCAAAGGGGGTCTGAATACTTTCTGAATGATAGACAGATGAGAGAGAGGGGGAGGGAGGGGGGAGAGTGTGAGTGAGTTCTGGCTGTTAAAGATCACTATGTGAAAGGAGAAGAATCATTTAGAAAAGATGTACAAAGGACAGCCAAAATCATTTTGGGTCTGAAGTCACTTCTGTATAAACTAAATCAACTCCGTTTTTTCATTTAGAAAAAGCTAGTGTGGGGAATAATATAAAATTAGCCAGGATGTGGAGAATGTCACTACTTTATTTATTTTATTTATTTATTTATGAGACTTATATACCGCTTTAAGTGCAAGCACTCTCTAAGCGGTGTACACCAGTAAGCAATGTATATATATATATTTACATTGCCCCCAACAATCTGGGTCCTCATTTTACCTACCCCGGAAGGATGGAAGGCTGAGTCAACCTTGAGCCGGTGAGATTTGAACCGCTGACCTGCTGAACACAGTCAGCTAAAGTGGCCTGCAGTACTGCACTCTAACTGTGCGCCACCTCGGCTCACTTTATGAGATTTCATCCGATTTATTTCTATTTAAGTTGGGGAAATTGTAAATGCTATCATGAGTGTGCCAGGAGTACCTTAGCAACCAATGAGGTATGACTTCATTTGGTCATTGCCCATTTCAATAATAAAACAGGTCCACATCAAAGAAAAATTACAATTTTTTTACCACAAAATATGTGAAAACAAGCACAACTGCTCTTCTGCACACTGATGCATCCATATCCCAGTGCACATGTACAGAGTGGAACAGGGGAGATATTTATGATATATCAGTAGGTCTCTGGGTTATTTCAATATACTTAACTTTTTTCAACAATAAAAAGAGAAAATATTTTATCTGTCAAAATGAGATTTCAGAAAAGGGGGACCTGGCATGTATTTTTGGGTGAAAGGATTATGAACTTGATTCTGTTATGATACTGAGAATAACTCCCTAAGTTAAAAAGCACCAAACATATTTTTGCACCAGTTTCTTGTTAATGGGTTTTGGAATGCTAGCACAAATCCAAATCTGGCCCACTGCACTTTTTCAAAGACGTTCTAAGGCTACAAGCCTACATTTAAATCTACAAACTTTGACTGAATATACTAAATATTAAGCAAAATATTCAGCAACATCCCCCCCCGCAAATCTTCTATGCATGCACAATTCAAACACTGAATTGAGAGTAAAAACTGAAGGTTGACAGAGAAATCATTAGTATGCAGCAGCGCTCTGTGAACCTCCTGAAGTTTACGAGTGTTTCAAACAGAGCTAAACCAAGGCAAGACTACACATTTAGATCGCACCCCAGCAGCATGCCGCTCCCATCAGCACTGATATGTACGAAGCTGTTCCTATTATATTAACTTTCTCCCGCAGAGAAAAACCCGCGCCCGCACAGCCAGCAACAGGGCCAAACCGCTACCACCGCAGAGGTTTCTTCTGTTTTGACGTCAAAACTCAACTTCTAGCGGGATTGACCAGATGCTTTGACCCTCCGCAAAATCAGTTCTCTCACTTACCCATTCTGGCGGTTGGGACGGCGGGCTGAGAGATGTGGACCCTTCACTCAGCTGTCCTCCTTTCCCCTCTTGCTCGGCTCCTCTTCCTTTCGCCCTCACAGCAGCCGCCGCCGCCGCCGCCGCCGCCTCATACCAAAGATTTTGCAGAGGTACCCGCTTCAGCCACCTCCTTCCTAAGGCCTGAAACAAGCGGCTCCTCCTCCGCTCGTCTTCCGTCGATGTATCCTACTTCTTCCTTCAGCGACAGAAATGCGCTGAAATTCTATGCAAGTCTCTTACGCTCACGCACGCGCAGTTCCTATGGTGGAAACTTAAAGACTCCCTAGCGGCGCAAAAGTACGCGTGCGCACTCTCAAGAACAGGCGGGGCTACTAAAATTTTCAGCTGCCAATTACTGTACCGGGAGTGAGTGATGTGAGGGGTCGTTCAGTCAATCGTGGCGTGATAGACTTCTGCACGTGGTAATCCGGGCCTCAGAGGAGTGTACATGGAGATTCTGTCACTTTGGGATGATCTTCGAATGTTGCGGGAGCATGAATGGATTTCCAGAAAACTTGCAGACTACAGGAACCTGTCCTTCTATCCCCCCACCATCCAGTTACAACTGATGAAGCTTCTTGGATGGGAAGAATATCTTCTTCCTAAAGGGAAAACAATCCAGTTGCCTTTTGAAAAAAACATGTTTGATAATGCTCAGAGGAGGAGCTTGATCTTATAAACGTTTAAATTAGTGCTTGAATGCAGACTTCATGGACTGGAATTCTGATCTCGGTGACTGCCGTGTTGTTATTTTGACAATACTGAAAGGTTTGTTAGTGCCTTCTGGGATCTTGTTCGACTTCCTTATCTAGTTTATAATTTGGGGGCTCTCTTAGTCTTTTGTCCAAATCTGATCTGGATATCTTTTATGGACTGCAACTTTGCAGATAATTTTGTGCCAAATCAGATCTTTTCTTAACCCAGGGTGTAAAATGCCCGATTTGCAATAAGGCAGACCATTATTTATAGTGATTTATGTTTCTTATCATAGTTTCTTTACTTTTTTTATTCTACTTTTATTTTTATTAATAACTCAAAGTAGTGAACATACCTGGCACTGCTTCCTATTTTCCCCACAGCAATTGTGTGAGATTAGTTTGGCTGAAATAAAGTAATTGGTCCAAAGTCACCCAGCTAGTTTTCAGGTGTATGGCAGGACTAGAATTCATAGTCTCCTTGCTTTCTAATCCGTGCCTTAACCAATAGTGGTTTCAAAATACTAAACTGATACAAGATCATTTTTATATGCAGTTTTAATCTAACATTATTAAAATTTTACTCCATTTTATATAGCTCATGATTTTATTTCTATTTTTTCCTCTTTTGTTTCTTTACTCTTTTGGCTCTGCTTTCAAGTAAATTTTAAAATTAAAAAAAGATCTAAGCTGCAAACCTGATAACAAAGCAAGTCAGATCTCAACCTGCATAAACATTCCAGATTAGCCAAAAAATTGTTAAGTGCAGGACAGGACCACACACTGCAGAGCAGAACAGCACTTTAACAATACCCTGTTAACTTTCTCCCTATTATCTAGTTTACCACCCTTGACAAAAAAAGCAATGTAGAATCAATTCAGAACAGAACTGAAAGGAAACTTGGAGGTCTTCTAGTCCAATTCCCTGCTCAAGCAGGAGACTATACCACTTCAGACAATCCTTTATGTCTTTATTAAGTCCAGCTCAAGTTGTACCATTTAACCCATCTTGTTACTTCTGTTTAGATTTATACTCCAACTTTTCTCTCCTGGATATACAGATATTGGGGAAATGCTCCCTTACCAATCTACCAGTCATGCTGTAGAAATAAGTTAGAAGTGTGAAATAATCACTAAGAGATCAGTTATCTTGGAAACCCTTTTTTACCGGCCTCTGTTGAGAATGAGGCTATCCAAAGGATTGTAAGATGGATATCTAGGTGGTTTTTAACAGAGGTTCAATAAGTTGCAGATGTTTGAAAATCCCAGAGCCAGAGAAAACCCTGTAACAATCTAAACAATTAAGGTTACATAACTTTTCCAGGTTAAACAACTTTCTATTTTTAATGAAAAAAAAAAGCTTTACTAAAACTTTACTAAAACTATATTGCAGCTATACTCAATGTAACTTTGAGGATTTGGGCCTATTTCTGAATAGTTGTATACTGATGTATATTATGTTCTATACTGCCTTCCCCCCTGACAATTGAATTTTCAGCTAATGAAATGGTTAAGTATATTTTAATGTATTTTTTTTTCATTTTATACCATCATGAATAATTTAAAAATGTTCCATTTTATTAAAACGTAAGAAAGGCAGAATTCACATAAGGAAGTAGGAATGGAACAAATCAAAATATGCAAAGGAAGTAAGATTAACAATTTAAAAATTCCAGCATTCTACTTCAAACCCTTTAAAAAACTGTTTAAAATTTGTACAGCATGTCAATACAATTCAGAAACCTGGTGTCTTAAATGAAGATAAAATCCATTTCATGTATTTTTCCATAAAAATCAAAATATTGTAATATTAATCATTGTCTGCCACATAAAGATAAGATTAATAACAACTTTGCCTAACAATATTGGTTTAGAAAATATATGTAACACCTGGGAGTGGAACATAAATCAGTGCTATTGCTCATTGAAAGAACAAGAAGTTTGGAACTTTATACAGTCATGCTACAAATTTCACACCTTTAAGAAATCATCACACTGGGAGTACATAACATTTTACAGTTCAGAATTGGTAGTAAAAACAAAAGCCCATATTATTTAATATCCCGTATAATAAGAACATTGTTCCTTGTAAAACAGATATCACAAATCCATATTCATCACTTGACAATCCAACACTGCATGTTAGATTTGCATGTTTTGGCTCCTTTACTAGATACATCTTATGCCCATGGTCTAATGCCCATGGTGCTTAGACCAGTATAGGTATGTATATATCAATTATATTTTCTCTCAACTGTACTATACTCACATATTATCAGACAAATAATTAATAGCCTTGTTGATCTTATTATATACACGATTGGTGGTTACATCTGAAAAGATCATACCTCCCTCAAGTTACTGTGAAAAAACGCTCTCTGATATGAAACTATGACCTCTTCTCTGAAATCTAAGTAAGTTATTCTTTTGTGAAGGAGGAGGAATCAATCACAAATACACTCATTTTACTGTATCAGAGAAGAGCTATTGTACCCATACAGGTCACACTATCGAAGCAGCTTGATATGGGAATAAGAAGCAGCATATTAATATACAAGAAATGCTTGAACATTTTGAAGTTCTGTAAATTGATGTATCTGATCATTTTTCATGTTTTCAGAAAAAAAGCACCATCCCATATTAACAACATATATAATTCTCAACATTTTAGCATGTGTGCTTTGCTGCTTTATGGAAAGATTTTTGTTGTTTTGCATAATTGTATCACTGCTGAAAAAAGTGATATAAAAACTGCTTTTTAAAGCTTAAAGCAAAACTTCTCCAGAAAATGCTCATCTATTAGAACAGTAAAAACCACTAGTTGCTGAAGTGTTTCCTACATTTAGTAAATAGTATGTTATAAGGGCCACATACATATACATTAAAACTAGATGCACTTTTGTAATTAGATACTAGATGTGTATCCAAATACCCAGAGTTTTATATACTTCTATTACTTTTGAAGAGTCTTTAGTTGCAGAGAAAGGACAACAACATATAGATGATTATCTAACGTAGCATATTAAATTAAAGCTTCAATCTAAGACATTTTTGCAGGAACAAAATGTCTCCAAAAAGTCCTGCAAAGGACAAGTCCTTGCTTTAACAAAAGCAGAGCATAGAAGCCCTTACAAACCTATAATTATGATACCTCATAATTGGTATCAAACAAATTGCCTGCAGGGAAAGAAAAAAAGTATAACATTTAATAAAAGGTACTCGTATAATGCTATAACAATTAATAGCTTTTAAGCATCTATAACATTATTTCAGGTAGAATGTTAATTGGCATTCAGTGCCATTGCAATAAAAATGCTCAACACAAATGGCCATAATATATACATAACTTTAATTGAACAGGTTGATAAAATCTGAGACGATCTAAAACACCAAAGATACCCCCGTATTTTTAAGTCATTGGCATGGAGTGGGGAAGGTTAAGAGAGAGAAACGATGGGTAGAAGTTCATCATATATACTCATTAACTCCAGTTGTAAGTCTTCCTGGAAGAAGTTAATAAGAGCTAGTGACACTGTTTCAATGCAGCTTTGTTCTTAACTTTAGAAGACTGAAATACTACCATCCTGCTTCATTATTTCCCATAGCCTAGTTATTTTACACTCTCAGGATTTCTAGACAGTTATTATAACAGATCGCTATCCAGTCCGGCTGAGTTGATGCCCACTGTACATTGTTAATTTCTCCTTCTGCTGTGTAAGCCAAAATTGGGTCCTCAATGGCACGAGGCATTTGTTGGATATCCCAAATGAGAGCTTGATGGTCATCCGCTGTCAAAGGTAAAACACAGATTTAGTTACATTTTCTTTGCTGATAATTTATTTATCCATGTATCCCAAAATAGAGGAAAAAAGCCTTGAGAAGTCATGGGTGACATTACTATCAAATATATGTGACAGTATCTGGCTAATCCTGAAAAGTATTTTTTGCTGGTGGGTAGATATTTAAATATTTTACAAGATAAAATCATATTAATTAAATTGCTATGTAACACTTTATTTTTATTTTAGAACAGTAAAAAATAGGCATCCTCAGTGTGTATCCATACACTGCATACACATTATTGTTGAAAGGTCCTTGGTGCTCTCTGAGCTTGCTTGTTTTCTTGCAGATGTTTCATTACTCAAACTACTGTAGGTAATATCATCAGTGCTAGCAAGGAGTGCAGTTTGCTGTCAGTTTATATTCTAGTGGAGGACTTTTCAACTTTTTCATAGATTGTATCACTTTTAGGACTGGGCAATATTTGAGTACCACCAGTGCTTAGCAAGATGTCAGGAAAAAAAAAAGGAAAAAAGTACTGGTTTTAATTTCTTTGGTGGCAGTTCCTTTGCTGAATTACTTTCCCTTTGCAGTGATGAACATATGACCACCACTATCTTGGTGGTCAGGTGGCTGGTAGGCACTTCTTCCTCTCTCCTCTCCTCTCTCTTTTACAGCCTACTCCCTCATTGATCCATCTGCTTCTCTCATAGAAGCCTTCCTCTTCTTCCTCTCTTTCTCCTCACGGCTTCTCTCACAGAAGCCTTTCTTCTCCTCTTTCTCCTCACGGCTTCTTTCATACACGCCTCTCCTCTTCTCTCTCTCCTGTTTCTCTCACAGAAGCTTCTTTCTCTCTCTTTCTCCTCACTGCTTCTCCCAGAAGCCTCTTCTTTCTCCTCACTGCTTTTCTTAAAGAAGCCTCTCTTCTCCTTTTCCTCACTGTTTCTCTCACATAAGCCTTTCCTCTTCTCCCTCTCTTTCTCCTCACTGCTTCTCTCAGATGCCTCTCCTTTTCTCTCTTTTTTTCCTCACTGCTTCTCTCATAGAGCCTCTCTTCTTCTCTTTCCCTCTCTTTCCCCATTATCTTTTTTTTTCTCTCCCTCCCACCAAAACCTCCTTTTACCTCCTTTTCTCTTCTGGGTGCCCCACTCTCTGGGGCTCAGAAAGAACTCCAGCGTCAGTTGCTACCCCAGTCTCACTCCCCCCCAGTCACCCCGGCTGGGCATTGCACACAGCGCTGATCAACTGGAACTCTGTGCACCGATCCTGAAGCCTCTGCAGCTCCAGCTGACTCTCTCACCCCAAGGCCAGTCTGCTGCTCCAGGTGATAGCAGAGGCAACACCGCAGTTTCAGCTGACTCTCCACCCGAAGACTAAGTGCAGCTGCTGGCCAGCCCAAGGCCTCCAGAAGCGCCGATTAGCTGGAGCCGCTGCACTGATCCTGGGATCTCAGCAGAGCCCCAGCAACACTGCATCTCCAGCTGACTCTCTCCTAGGCCTCACTGGCGCTGCTGCCACTTCAGCTCATTCCCCCCCCCGCTAAACTTGTCTAGGTTGTGTACCACCTGCTAGATGCCGAAGTACCACCAGCAGCATGTGTACCAGTCTAGTGGCTTGCCTATCAATGTTAGTGGAGAAAAGAAAAACTAGAGAAAAGAAGAACTAGGGGTGATATAATAGTAGTGATCCAATATCTCAGGAGTTGCCACAAAGAGGGAATCCAGCTATTCTCCAAAGCACCTGAAGGCAGGACAAGAAGCATTGGGTCGAAACTAATCAAGGAGAGGAGTAACACCCACCTTGGCTCTGCAAAGGCATAAAAGTCACTAAACATCATGTGACATGATTGAGTTTGACATCCATGGACTAGACTTTCTAAGCAAGATGAATGCTGTGTTTTAAGGAAAAATTTTCAACAGTGGATGCTGCAGTGATTTTTACCACAGACTTACAAACTTTGGAAATTAGAGGCTCAATCCTAGGTCCTGCTCTATTCAATGTAATATAACAAAAGGATTTTTTCTTTGTTGATGGCCCAAAGATGTGATAGTGTTGATGTTCCATATTCATAACATGGAAAACAATTTGGCATTGTTACAAAAATAGGTAAAAAAATGTGGAAACGGCAGTTCAAAGATTCTTAATATAAGATCATATACTTGGGGGAAAAAAATCATCTGGCAGGGTATAGTATTGGGGGTACAGCGTTAGACAGAACAACAAAAGAAAAGGATTTAAGTGTGCTCATAGTGGATGACTGAAAAATGAATAAATAGTGTGGCCAAATAGTTGTGAAGGCAAAAAAACCCCCAACACCCTGGGGTGCATCACTAGAGGGATCACTAGCAGAATAAAGGAGACCCTAATCCCACTATATAGGGCTCTAGTGTGATCTCATTTGGAATAGTGTTCAGTTCTAGGGATTTCACTTTTAAAAAGATATTGATAAGATTGAGTCTGTCCGGAGATAGGCAACAAAAATTAAGAGTGTGAATAAGGTTCTAGAAGGCAGTATTTTCAATGTTAAGCAAAAATAAACAACACAGGGCATAACCTCAAGCTGAATAGGAAGGCAGTTCAAAAATAATGCTAGAAAGTATTGCTTCATGGAAGAGTACTGGAAGCTTGGAACCAATTTCC